TCGAAGTTGAGGGTAGTCATCGTACGATAGCAAGGACATGGCTGGTCGACTAGGTATTAGTCGATAAGATGCACCATTTCCAATCTTTGTTTTCTTATTTGGATTTACAATCAACAATTCAGCTGGTTCTAGTCCTATGTGTGTCTTAGCCTCATTTTCTGTTTTCATAGTTTCCTTAACAGCTTTCCAATAACTCTTCCTAGGTAAAATTTTTGAGTCCTTCACTCTTCTAGTTTTCAGTTTGGCTTTTAGGAATGAATTATCAGTACCATCAATATCAAGATCAAGGTAGTAAATAAGGAAGTGATCATGGTTAGCTGCAATAGTGTTTTTCGCCACAAGGGTCCCGTAAACATCCTCAGTTATTTGGTTATTGTTCGTATATTTCACAGCCTTCGTCTCCATAACTCCGCTCAAACTTACCTGCACGGACAAATCAGAAGTCTAAAGAAAAAAGGACAGCTTGGTGCACTAAACTCCCGCTATGCGCGTGGTCTGGAGAAGGGCCGGACCACAAAGGTCTATTGTAAGCAGCCTTACCCTGCATTTCTGCAAGAGGCTGTTTTCATAGTTCGAACCCGTGACCTTCTGGTCACATGGAAGCAACTTTACTAGTTACGCCAAGGCTTCCCTTCCAGAAGTCTAAAGAATAAAGATTGCAAATCAGAAAGATATTAACAAGCACAACATCTTAATTTTCTTACTCCAACTCTGAGAGTTCCACTTTGTTTGAACTCCCAATCAAGTGTATAATCATAATTTCCTACTGTTGCAACCATTCTAACAACCAAATTAACTTCTTGCTGTCCCTTAGTGTTCTGCAAAAACAAATTATTGAATGTTGATTATGTCACTAGATAACTATAGTAGTAAGTATGCAAATGTTTATATTTAGACGCTTACTATATTTCCAGGTACTCCATTTTCTGTATGCCTCCAAGCAGCATCGCCAACATATCTTTCAAATATGCAAATCGCGTTGGGAACTTGCACTACATGTCCATCTGAATCAGCCATATATCCGTCCATATACACTGCATTGTTCGGACAATCTAGCAACGGGACAAGACTACTAGCAGACCTTCCGAAACCAAATTCACCAATATCCATAAAAGTCCTGTAGTACCATTCAAATGTAGGATCCATATAAGGCACAAATGTCTCTGATACATGACCTCTATAGAGCACACGTCGATATTCATTTCTTGTATCATCAAATATAGAAGCTGTAGACACGATCATACCCGCCCTCGTGTTGAATCCAACGTGAAAAATCCAATTATCCCATTTAACTTCATTGCCTTTGATGATAATCCGGCTTGTGTCAGTGTCATTGCAAGCGACTGATCCCTGGCTCGATGTTTGGAAATCAGCACTCTCGGCTTCAGGCAAAGGGGCTCTGAATCTATCTATATATTTGATTATCTTCATGGATTCAACATCTACTATTGTAGTGATCCCTTCAATTGGCCTTGCCCAAAAATTAGTTGTCCCTCGTCGATAAAAACATGGAACGTTAAGTATTCTTCGTGTCTTTGGCTGCCCGAACCATCCAACTGGTTGTGGTATGCAACTAACTTCTGATATATTCAAACCCCTTTTCAATATTGAATCTTGAAATTTAGGATTCCTCAATGTCAGCCTGCTGCATTGTACAATTTCGTCGAGAGTGAGTGGAGGGAAACCATGACCAGTATATAGATTTTCTGATATGATAGAGCGAGTGGCCAAGTCTACAACGACTTCAAACGTCTCACCATTTGCGCGAACTACTACCCTGGCTCGACGATAAGGAAAAGGAACATTTTTATGCTTATAATGTAAGTACATCCAATGAAGGACATCTTTTTTTTCAGGCTCTTCAATGTCAACAAAGTGAAATGTTAAATTGGAGAGGGAACTAAAATGAGATTTTTGAATAATGACTCTAATCTTGTTGATCTCAATAGGATTTAGAGGGTCTAAAGGATGGCATTGGCATCTAGTGGAAAAGAACAAGAAGACAATAGCAATAATTGTAAGAGTAAAAGATGTGGACACTACTTTTATGAACTCCATATAGATTGATTGAGAAATTAATGGTTCTTTGACATTCAAAATACTGTTTGCATATTTATTGTTGGCAGAGTTTTTCTTTTCTTTACTTTTCCCCCTCTTGTTTTTTTTAAATGTTTTAATGGCTATAAAGTGTTGTATAATCATGGTAGCTTCAATTAGCATATACTTGCTGTAACCAGTTAAAGAAATCAAATCAAGAAGACAATAAGTAACCTATCACATTTAATACAAGTAGTGGGGCAATGCTTCTTGCTATTTCTTACATTGAAAGCTAAGATTGCTTTGGTTTGGTCTTCAATAACTTAGTAGTATTTTCCTTTGTTTGCTCAAATCAAGAGAACAAGCCTTTTACTTTTCTGAAAGACCATAATGCTAAACTAAGAGCCACTTTGCCTTGTGAAAACAGCTTTTTAATTGATGCACAAATGTTACCGAATATTTTCTTTTTTTTGGTTATTTATAGGTAGAGGTCTGTCTAATTTTTTCAGAAAGTGGACTCATTAGAATTAATACTTGAATTTTAGTTTTCAAGTTAAAACAAATACTTTCCCATTTGGTTCTATGTGAACGTGTTTGATTATTATGGACTTTAAGAAAAAAAAAGTAAGACTTTTGGAACTTATATATAGTCTTATATATACGGCATGGCATAAATTATGCTTAAAGATAACTGCTGGCCAAAGCTTAAAACCAAGCCTTTAATGTTGGCGTAAAGGAAACTCTTCCACTTTGGCACATGATGAGTACCCAATATACACCATAAGGCAATTGCCTTGTTCTCAACTCTCTCATCCCCGACAGGGTTCGGAGAAAGGCCGTATGCCAAGGAATGTGATATAAACAACCTATCTAATGCAAGCATTAGTGGCTGTTTCTATTGTTCCACGGCTCGAACTCGTGACCTGTAGGTAACATAAAAGTAATTTTACGGTTGTTCCAATGCTTCTCTTCCTATTTTAACAAGTCATATCTATATGCTAGGTGACTTGGTACGTCTCTCATGCTAAGAATAAGATTTATCTTTTTTTTCCTTCTTTGCATTTTCCTCTCAGTTTCATTTATCTTAAGTTAAGAATAAAAAACCAAGTCTATGTGTACTCAACTTTTAATTTGAAGGTGTGTGAAACGGCTGAACTTAAAGAGGTCTACCCATTTATAACACCTCTTAATTCTCACTAAAGAATTACTCTAAATTCAATATGCCAAATTCCGCAAAGAGAAATTTCAAAATCAAACTTCAATAAGGCAGGCTTAAAAAAATATTTATGTATATATGTAATATATCTTAAATAACATGTATATATTTTGACACCCTAAAATTCAAATCTTAGACTGTGCGGCCTGGATTCGATTCCTAATCCAGCATTTGCTCAAATTTTTATTCGATAATGATGCCTCGCAACTTTTAAATTTTGGAACCGCCTCTGGTTGCAACTACTTATACGTCGTTATACTCAATATAAAATTATTTTCTCTTTCATCATCTATCAAGACTTTCTTTTTTTAAATTTGATAAAGGTCTGCATTCACTATTTGAATTGCATTGTGAAAAATTCCAAACTCAGATGGGTTCGTCCTTTTTACTTTTTAACTTTGTAAAAGAAAAACAATAATAAAATGCAGATTAAGAACTCTAGCTATTGCACATTATGTTTTCATTATCTGGATAAATATATTAAAGTTCTTCCAATCAAATGAAGAAATAAAATAAATTGAAACAGTCCTAACAACTTAGTAGAACAACTACTATACATCACTTTTTTGCTTTTTTTCCGTTTTCTATGCCGGCGTTTGGCCATAAATTCTCAAATTTATTCTGAAAAATCTGATTTGGGTGAAATTTGGTTTGATGACGAAAATGTGTTTGGACATCTGTTTTGGGTGAAGTTTGGTTTGTATAAACATGAAACATGACTTATACCCACAAGTTCTAAAAATTATCACAAATACTCAACAGTACCATTATCAATAACATTCATTATATTATCGCAAACCATAGTCCTGAAAATTTGATACAAAATTATTATTTTTATAATGAACTACATGATATACTATCAAATCACCGAGAATACGAAGCAATATCCTTACAAAATAATAAATGGTGGACTCTTTTATAAAATACAAAAATTTGGGGTAATTTTTAAAAAATATAATAGTGATATTTTGGCCCAAAACCAGCTATTGAGCTGGTTTTGAGATTTGGGATTTGGCCAAAATGTAGTCAAAATTTATGGCCAAATATGTGTTTGCCAAATAAAATCCAAGTTTATTTTGGCAAAATCTATGGCCGAGTAATATATATATATATATATATATATATATATATATATATATATATATATATATATATGGTTCAA